GTAATCACTCTTCTTGTTTATTCTCTCGTTCTTGTTTCTTTTCTTTTTCCTCTAACAACTGCTGTAATTGCTCCTCTTGTTTCTTTTCTTTTTCCTCTAACCACTGCTGTAATTTCTCTTCTCGTTCTTTTTGTTTCTTTTCTCGCTCTTCTTGTTTCCTTTCTTGTTTATTTTCTCGTTCTTCTTGTTCCTTTTGCTGCTCTTGTATTGCTGCCATCAAGTCTGCTAAGCTGTAGTTTGATTTTCCGCCTCTCGTTTCCATTTTTTTTATCCCACTTCTGACACCAATTTGTTACGTCTCCGTTCGATAGTTAATTTTCCGTAAATTCGTTCCGACGAAACTTTAGCGACACAAGTCCTTTTTTAAATAAAACTGGTTTATTCTTTCTGAACATAACTTTGCGATACACTTAATTTCAACAGTCGCTCTGTAACAAATGCTATAATTCTCAACGAACTTCTCACATGCTTAACAATATTCTCTCTGACTGCAGTTCAATTACTCATTACCTCCCTGTCGCTTCGTGGCCAGTCTTATATATACAAGACTACACTATATCTAGAAAGATCACGAGATTTAAGGAAAAGACGTGAAAGTTCGAGAATGACGTGGCGTGATACCAGTCACGTGACCTTGACGTCGCAACAATATTTTTATTCTAGAGAGTTTCTGACTTCTGTTTTCCAGAAGGTTGTGAATATCAGAAAGAAAGGTATATCTATTACACACATGTAAATATACATTAACATTTTCTTGCCCTGAAAATGTATTTCCAATAGGTACTTATCTCCTCTTACTCAAAGCTATCTCAATCCTGGTCTGCCCTCTAAGCATTACTAAAAAAGTTTTGCTAAAAGCACACCAGTCTTTTATACCTCATCAGTTTCATGCCATTTCAAAACATGTGCTGATCATATGGCTATTTTCCACTAATTGTACTGTGCCATATATACTGGTACAGCTAGCTCCCTCTACTATTCTAGAACAATCCTCACTTTCGAGAATCGGCAGGCATCTCAGTAGGGTGAAAGGAGGTAAGTACCTATTAAAAGTACATTTTCAGGGTAAGAAAATGTTAACTCCTGAAATAGTACTACCTCCTCTCATCCAATGTTAGAATTCCACATTGCTAAGGTGGAAGGTCCAGTGAAGGTGCGTCAACCTTAAATAAAGTGGAAAACAACCGCTCTGAAAGAATAGGTGTACTAGAATATGAAAATAAAACACATCAGTGGGGTACACCACTACTTCTGGAACAGGTATGCTCTTCGCCAAGCAATAAGTACAGTAACACAGCTGGGGTGGAACTGAATTGACAGGCACAATTGAAGTCAATAAAGAGACGTACAGCATTGAATCAGTGTAGAAGGTGCTGGATAACTATGACATGAATCAGTATGGTGTTGACAAACATGGAAAGGTTTGTGTGTGTGTGCAATAACTTTCCTTTATATCTAGGTGCCAAGAGAAGTGCCTTAGGTTACATTGTATTACACCAAATGTGATCCATCTGGGCAAAACATCCAGTCGAAATGCTTTCTATTAGATATGGTGATCAACAAGTGTGATCTGCCCAGGCTAAAACATTCAGGTGAAGTGCCTTGGATATGGACAAACCCAACCAGTGAGTGCAATAGGGGATATATCACTGGACACCTGACTGAGCCACAGATGTCTAGGGAAGAAAGGCCAGATCAGGATAGAGAATGATAACATAAGAAAAGTGGTAAAAGATGCAGGAAACATCAATGGCATAAATATAGAAACAACAATGACCTCAAACAAGGAGGAGGAGAAAGATAACTTAAGGGAAAGATGGTATAAGGAACTTATAGCAATGGGTTGAAATGGAGAACTGGACAAGGCTAAACAAAAGTATGTGTGGAGGATGGACAAGATGAAAGGAAGGGAAAAGGATGGAAATAACAGGAGAGAAGAAAGCTTTCTAGAAATGGGAGAATCAGGACAGGGTAGCCCTATAACTAGAAACAGTAAACATGGACCAACCCTGATCAAACAACCAGGCAAAAACTGGAAGAGATGAGGTACGGAAGCCACAGTGAACAGACCAATGTATACAGTTATACCATTACCTCTGGTACACAGACAAGGAGGAAGGTCAAATGGAATGGGAAAGAAAAGATGCTACACCATGGGTGAGTACCTGAGCTGAGCTAAGAGACAGGACAAAAGCCAATGTGTGAAGATGGAGTTTGGTGATGTCAGAATGAATTATGTTTGATCATGGTTGTTGGAGGAGAAATTGAGATAGGGGTAAGAGCAGGGGAGAGTAAGGGCCAGAGCAGAGGGAACTATTTCTGAGCAGACCAATGTGGAGCAATGAGCATGACACAACAAGGAGTGTTCTGGATAAGGGAAAAGACTCTAGAGTCTGATCAGAGGGTAGGCATATAGGTGAAGACCCCTCCAATCCTGACTGAAAGCATCTATTCCCAGAGCTGAAGGTTTTGAACCAAAGACCAAAAGGAAGGAATTTTGGTGTTCCAGTGAGTGTCAAACATTTATATGCAGTGTTCCCAGTGGAGAACACACCCACCGAAATACCTATGGAAGAAGTGACCACTCTGTGGGAAGAACTGGTTGGGCTGAGATAAGCAATTGGCCACCAGATTCATAATGCTGGGAACATTTTGTGCCAAGATCACCATGTAGTAGTCGTAGGCCCTGTAAAGAAGATCCAGTCTGAAAACACAGAGATCTGGACTTGGTTCCGCTTTGTTTGGTGATATAGTTCACAACAGTGGAATAGTCGGAATGAACCATAACCACCCATCCCTTCAGGGGTGGGAAGAAATGATACAGAGCCCAGTGAACTGCCAAAAGTTCCAGGATGTTGAAAGTGGAGAGTAGCAACCTCAACAGACCATTGACTGGAAATCTCTTAGAAATCAAGGAAAGCTCCCCCCAATTCATCAAGGAAGCATTGGTAAACAGATGAGACTCTGGACAAGGTGGAGGAATCTGAACCCCCACCTTAGTTAGTTCATTGTTGAGTCACCAAGCAAGCTTGGCCCTGATCTCTTGGGGAAGGGAAATGGGATGGTCCAAGGAAGCCCGCATCCCAAAAAGAGAGAGAGAACCCCTCATTCAGTAAGAAAAAGAGAAGGCAGGGCCATTGAGACAAAGATGGGAATTGAAGAAAACCCCCAATAAAATAAGATATTGAGTGGGGTTAAGAATAGACTTCTACATCTGGAACAGAAAACCCCACCTGATTAGCTCTGACTGGGAAGAAGCAAGCAGGAGCCAGTCGTCCATGAAAAGAAGAGTCCAAAAACCCAATGAATGAAAATGATTTGCAAAAAAAGTGACCACTCGACAAAACATACGGAGCTGAAGAAGGACCCAATGGCAGTGCCTGGAACTGGAAGACATGACCCTCGCAGATGAACCGAAGAAAATGATGTGACACTGGAGCAGTTAGAATATGACGATAGGCATTCGTCATGATGATTTGGTCATCCAGAGTCCCAGTGGAAAAAAACCCGAAGAGAGAGGTAGGACTCAATGGTGAAGTAAGGTGGCTCCAGATAAGAATACAACCTGAACAGATCTCCAATCTCTCATTTTTTTGAGGGACAACAATTAGACTGGAGTAAAACCCTGGTTGAGTGGTGACCACCTGTTTGACAGCCTTTGTGTAGTAGGTCTTGAACAGACTGTGCAAGATGTCTGGAAGAGGTATGATCCCAAGGAGGAGGGAAGCAGAACTGGGAAGTAGATAGGGGGATGGAAATTAAGGCAGAAACCTTCAGACAGAACCCGTAGAACTGTCATGAAGTATAGCCAAAATAGACACATAAACTAAACATACTTAAATTACTCATTACTAATGAATTACAAAACCTAAAAATTTGTAGTCTACAAAGTACATAAAATAACAAACTTCTAAAACTAGGAAATTTGACCTTAAACAATAAGCAACACTTAAAGTACTGTTACGTCTCCGTTTGTTAATTGATTTTTCCGTAACTTCGTTCCGACGAAATTTTAACGACACAAGTCTTTACTTAATAAAACTGGTTTATTCTTTCTGAATATAACTTTACCGATACACTCAACTTCAACAATCGCGCTAAACGAACGTCAATAATACTTCTGACTGCAGTTCAATTACTCACTGTCTACACTTCCTCCCGCGTCACGTTGTCCCCTCTTATATATATCCGCCTACCCTATATCTAGTAAGAACTTGAACATTCGCCACAGTACATGATAGTTCTTGAAACGTTGCGTCATAGTAGTCATGTGACTCGCTGACG